CAACACATCACAAAAAAATCGTGAATTAATATACTAAGATCTTGAATTTTTTCACAGATTTAATATGCTATTAGCATCACATAAATTTCGTAGAATGTGTTGAAAGAAAATAAGATTTGAAAATGAAGTAAAAATGCTATTTAGCTTAGTATAGGTGAATACAGGTACCTATACCTACCTAACTAATAAAAATAAAATAGAAGAATTAAATTCCTGGAGCAAACGATGAGATTGCAAGTAATTTTAGATTTTTCAGTACCTAGCTGATGTTTATAGTATATAGGTTCCATAATATGCATAATATATAAAATATTAGTATATAATACTATATAATATACTCGGAGACCAGTTTTAAAACGAAATAAATCATGTGTTTTTCCTTATGAATATAAAAAAAAAAATATTTTTAAATTTGAAAGATCACAATTAACCAGAATGAACAAAGTGATAATTCAATGTAGATTTATTGTCGAACAAGTACAATGCGTTCAATGAATTGATGCGAGTGCATTGTAATTTATTTATAACTAATATATCTAGGTATAATAATTAAACCTCAGTCCACACCTCTGATCTCAAAGAGCGAGTGCTTACATAAAAAATATTATCCGTAGTATAAACATTGAAGTCATCGATAAAGTAAAAATAGTGTGCACAATAAATACAAAATATATAATAATAATTTATTGTAACCGCTGTATATTTTATGAGCATATTTAGAGGTCTGAGTAAGTCAATAAAATCCAGTTGATCATTATCTATCTTAAAATTTCAATGGGTAAGAAAAATGTTAAATGTTAAAAATATATATTTTAAGAATTAAATCGCTATAGGTATAGAAAATGCTGTAAAACTCTCCAGGTATTTTTCGGTTATGTTTATAAAAACATTCCTCATAAAAAAAAATAGTAATAAAATTAACGCAAATACCTATATAGTATACCTATATAGTGTACAAACATTTAAAACTGATGATAATTAAATAATAATAAATAATAAACTAAAACAATGATTCTGTTGATTATTACATAATTATTATACCGAAACCTAACCAGGTAACTTTTTATAAATTTTTATGCTGCAACACGTCAATAAATATAATAACTATTAACTATAAGATTATTATCGAATTTAGGATTGAATTTTTAAATGAAAGTAAATATCTATTAAGTATTATTATACCTATGTAATATTAATATATTTTATTAAAATTAACCAATTTAACTTAAAATTCATTATTTGAAACATTAATCAATAATCAGAAATCAGAAATAATATAATAACTAATAAAGTTGTAAAAGTATATTGTCAGCTATTTACAGCGATTAAAATATAATCTAATACATTCATCAACCAAACATTCCTTATAATTTATAAAGCATGTGTATTTGAAACATTTTTTAAACAATAGGTAGATAGATATAGGTACATTTCTCTTATATTAACATTTTTCTATATTTAAACTTTACCTATTATGTCATCAAATTATCTTTAGATGCATTAAAATAGAATTTTTTTGTATAGATGTATATAGCATGCATCTAAACATAATATTATATAATTACTTAAGAGGATGCTACCCATGCATTTGTTGTCTCCGTCTTGCATACGTACGACATAGCTAATTTTCATTCACTAGTTTCAATAGTGTGTTGTTAGTTTGTTGTGATTTGACCTATTATACATTTTTTAGATAATAACATTATTATCTGTGCTTAAAAGTTGGCTTTTATACGATATTTTAATTTTCAAGCGAGATATGAGCATTTTTAATTTTTGATATTTCCCATACCCATATCTTGCTTGAAAATGGAAATTTCGAAACAACGCTTAAGCACAGATAATGTTCTTACCTAAAAGTTTTATAATAGGTCAATTCACTCTAGTATCAAAACTAACAGCACACTATTGAAACTAGTGAACGACAATTTGATATGTATAAGACGGAGACAACAAATGTATAATAGGTATAGCGTCCTATTAATACTTTTTAATTTCATAACAACCAAAAATACCAAAAATTATACCGATTACACAATAATAAATATCTACGAATTTTAAATATTTAAATATTTACTCCTGTATTTATTACTATTTACTATAACACCTAAATTCTATATTAATAGAAGTAAACTAAAGATAAATACCTACACTCACTAAGAATAATAATTTCACAAATTAAACAAATTATGACTACATTGTATATTAAAGATTTATATCCTTATGATATAACTGTATATTATACTAAACCTATATATTCTATGATTTTAATTCTAATAATTTACCGATAGTAATACAACTAGGGACATCAATTTGAATGGGGCTTGTATAAATTACCTATATAAAACTATATATATTAATGTTGATTTAAGAGGATGCCTATACCTAAATATATATACCTATGTACAGTACAATGTATAGGTAGAAATGATACTCGACCAGCAGATCGGTCGGACCACTCTATAGATTATGAATTGTGGGACTCCAAAAGATAGATAATTATTTGTAACTTGATACATAGTATGTTGGCAATGTATATCCCTTAACTTTAGCAATATGAAATAATGAAAACAAAATAGGACTTCATTGGCGAGTATTAGCAACTAGGTTATTGAAGTTCTAGGGCAAGTTCTTCAGACATTTTTGGGGCGTTTTTCATTTTTATGAGTTTTCTACCTAGTATAGGCTATATAGGTATATAAGGAATATGGGAAAAATAAATAAAACTCTCCTTAGATGTCGGTACCTACAATATATATATTATCTTTATTTTTATATTATGACATGTATACATTTATTCTGCTTTTATTTTTTAAAATAACACAATAGTCATGGATTTATCGTAATCAATCACGATGAAACGTGGGCATCGATTACAAATTATACTATCTATACCACCGTCTATAGCCATAATAGTTTTTGTTAAATATTTGACTAAATGATAATTATTATATAAGTATAACCTACTTGCGATATACCTATATGATTCGGTTGTATCATAATTAAAAGTTAAATATATAGCAATAATATAGTAAAATATAATATACTAAAATTATGGGTTTATGTAGGTATAGGTAAACCGTATACTACTATATAGTAAATAAACCTAAAATTAAAATCAAATTCTTGTTTGATATACATATTTATATTGATGTAATAGTATTCAAGCTACCATTATTATATTAAATAAGAATAGGTATAGGTAAAAGTTATTATTAATAAGGCTTGAAATCCATTAAAAAAAAAAAAAACGATTTAATGACCACAGAAAATAGTGCATTATTAAAAAAAAATGCACTAAAATGTTCCTCTTCATTTCAATAAAATTACTTACAAAACAATTATGTGCAGTTATGTGCAATTATGTGCACAAAACGCGTTTTGTATACAATTTAAAAACCCTAGGGCTATGGGCCCATAGTAAAAATGTACCTACATATAGAAAAAATATATAGGTCGTAAATAAGCATTGCACAATACCGAGGATATTATCGAAACTTTGAAAATTATACAGCTATATAATAATATATAGTATTAGGTAAAAGTAATGACTAATTTACCAAAAAAGATAATTATTTATTCATAAATTTATTACAAGATGTACCTATATCAAGTTAGCAATTTACTTATATGGCTATAATATTTGAGTGAATGAATAATAGTATAATATATTTTATTTAGACGTTTAGTATCCAGCAAAAATGGCCTCAAAGTATAAGAAAAAAAATGATCTAAAAGTAAAAATATTAAATAAATGTTTCATATCTTCTACACTTGTGTACTGAAATTTGTTATCAATAATATATTGTCTATACAAATATATACCAATATTATAATATTATATGTACCCATTACCGAGACTATATTATATTATGATTGATCAAAACACTTATTTTTTGAATTGATGTATAGGTACAATATATATAGATTATATTTGCTATTTTATGCAATGATTTATATACAAAATTAAAGTATGGATAAATGGATTAATTTGCAATAATATTACTATAAGTACCTATATAATCTATATATAAACATATGTATAGGTATACTATACGTCATAGTTTTCAGTTTTTTTAGAACAGTATAGACATTGGAGTGCTCAGTTTCTACCTGTAGATACACATATATTTTAATATATTATTATTTATTAATAACGTTTTCTATATGGAATAAATGGATATCCGCATTAATAATATTATTAATAAATATGATGCAGTATACCTATATTTATACATAAATATTACGTGATGTGCTTTTGTATTTGTACTGCCATTAAAATTTAGTAAACGAGCAGTAGAGTTGCAACCCAAAGCTCATATATGAAGATGATAATAAATTTAATAATAAAATTCCTTTGCATTAGGTACTAACTAAAATATATAGATATATAATTGTATTTTATACATTATTTAGAAATACATATTATTATATATATATTTAATAGCTGCAGTATAGGTACGTATGATATTATACTATATATAAAACCACAAAGTTTAAGTACACAAAACTTTTCATCAAAATACTTATTAGTGTACGCGAGCCTATATATCCTATATATATATATGTTACTCATTGTTAATATTTGTCGGCTGAATCGCTCCTAATTATATATATTATATATACCTATATACCTACATATACTATACCTATACGAACATAAATATAAAACAAATATATATATATATATAGGTATATAATATGTACATCATTTCGCAGTTTATTTACGTATTTATAAATACAATTTTTCGAGCCGTAGGTACCTATATACATCTATAAATTTGGTAGGTATACCTATATCTACCTTTTTTGATTTTTATACCATACTAAAATTTAACGTACATATATCTACGCTATACACGTAACTATATGACATATATATATATGAATTACCTACGTAGTTACGAGTAAATTTTTAAATATATATATATATGCGCGCGTGAAGGTAAGTAGGTATAGCTAATATATATAAATAATTATGAAATGCATTTTTGACTTACTTATAGACGGTGGTATGTCGGCGGCCATGTCATACGGCTCGGACTTGACCGGCGATATTCGCAGGGGGCCCCTGTGCAGGGCGGACGGCATCAGGGCGGCCAGCGTGGAACCAGCAGATGGGCTGCAATACTGGGACCACGCGTGTCCCGGCGCCCACGCGCTCGACGTTGTCGAACTCACGGTGGTGGATGCTCGTTCAACCATAAAACAATCGCCGCGGTCGGCAACGAACTTGGGCCGTGTGCAAACTACAAACGAATTTAAATTTTTTTTTATCGGTAAAACAATACACCTTTATCTATAATATAGATCGTATTATAATGCTGCAGATTGTCGCGTACTGCAGTATGTCATATTATACATAGATAGTATATATTTATCATATATCATATATACCTATGGTTGAGTATTCGTGTAATGATTACTGCAGCTATAAACTGCTGCAGCGGTATTGACTAGGTATATTTCATAATGACGCGTATTACGAAACGGAAAAATATTACAGCCAGTCAAATCGGCGAGTGGCACTATACACACGATATGCTATTATACACGCGGGTAGTATTCGCTATTCGAAAAATTCAAACTGTTCGTCGTTTTTATAGGCACAATGATTTATTTAATTTATAATTTATACTTTTTACGTTAACTCGGGGACGGACGCGCGTCCCGGCGGCACCGCACTACACACTGTACTGTCGGACTGACCGGTGTCGCCGGCCGCCTCCGTCTGGCCGCCAGTCGAGACCGCGCCCACCGACGCCGACTATTGGTGACGAGCGCCGTAAAATGGCCGGTCTGGCTCCGGTCTTTGGCGGCGGTGGCGGTGGTGCGTGCGTGTGCGCGCGCGCACCTTCGTCCATCCGTTCGCGTGCAGTTATCGATTCGACCGTCGCCGTCGCTGTGCGTCGGCCGTCGTATGCGGCGTCGCTGTCGTATCAGGTACACCGCGGCGGTGGTAGCACCCGTATGAAATTTTGCTATCGAGTCACGACACGCTCGTGTTACCGACAAAATATTAATATGATATACTTGATATTATATTATTATACCTAACTATCTACCGTTGTTTCTTGTGTGAAATAATTTTTAGTGGAAAACATAACAACAAAAATTGCCAACGAATATAATACTTGAATAAAAATTATGATATTAATAAAACTGTTTATAGGATAAAACAGTCGCACGGTGGATGCACCAAATAAGAACGAGAGCTGTGCACAAAATTCTTTAAATTTATATGTGAAAATCTTGCTAAAAAATACACAAAATTACACGTTCTGTTTCGGATAATATTTTGGATTTTTTAACGATTTAGGTATACCTACCGTATATTATACGATATACCTAATGTTTCATCATTATGATGTATAATAATTTGATATACTAATATGTATATTATAAACATGTATGAAAACTAAATATGGACTATCAATATAGTTCCTTATGTCTATCATGCTTACCTATAAGTATATGTATAGATATATATATAGATTATAGGTACCTATATACCTAAGCATTTATTGGATGTACAATCAGCAACAATTTTACTTTATTTATTATTTTATATATGTAATATAATATTATAGTTAGGTATATTTTTCTTCCAAATAATTACCCCATCCCTTTAATTTTACCAAGTATAGATACATCCTAGAAAATTCCTCAAACTAAAATATAAATATGATCTATGCATGTAAAACAATTGAAACCAATACATGCACCTATTTAGCTTTTTCTATAATATAGGTATATATAATATTATATACTTTTTAAAAATATTCGAAATGATAGGTATAAGTCTTGTACACAAGAAGTTGTCCCCCCTATATTGAAAACATCGAAACGTAGCGATTGTAATAGTTAAAGATCTTCATTTGTAAATATTTATAAGTTGGTTTTCAGCATTTTTAAGTGGGCCCTAAATGAGATATCTGCAGCCTAATAGATATTAATCATCATCATCCCTCTTATATATCCACCGAATCGAACCGGACCTATTGTAAGTTAAATATCTTCATTACTTCGCTGCTATAGTATATTCATATACTAAACAGACTAAACTATCTATATAAATCTATAAATTTCACATTATACCACAGAAAACTATAACAAACTGCAGGCAACAACAACATATATAATCTAAGAAGTTAATCCTATACTTTTACATTTTCCCCATCTAAAATATGAACTGCGCTTTTATATCTAATAGAATATCATTATAATTTTTAACAAATTGTTAATACCTACCTACTGTAATTTGAATTAATAGGCTTATTTATAATTTTTTTATCATTTAAATTAATTATATTTACCAATAATTCAAAAAAGTGTTTGGGGTTATGGAAAATAAATATTTCTATAGGAAATGTACAAATGTTGTCTCTATACTGCAGTATATACTAATATAAGGCGTATATAATTATGCAGATCATATTTCATATAGATATATATATTATCGTATTTGTTTAATAGCACGGAATATGTTCTGTAGGTACATTGTATACCTATATATAGGTATTAATATATTATAATATATATAATATATCTATAGATATCTGAGTAGGTAATAGGTATACTTATACATATATATCCTATATGGCTATATATATACCTACTATATAGTATTCTGTTATATAGGTACCTGTATATATATATATATATTCGTTTGTTTGAGTGCTGTACAAAATAGCTTTGTGTATAGGACAGAAAAACAAGTAAACCTACTCCTTCGAAAGTGTAATCAAAGAAAGGGATTCTACAGCAGAGAGTCCCACGAGTGACTTTTCTCTGTTATTACTTTTTTTTCAGCACGGCACGCACTATATATATATATATATACATATAGTGGTATACCTGTATTATAGGTACATATAGTACGTATATATAACTCCATCTGGGTTTGCAGTATTTAGGGTAGTAATTTTAAAATAATAAACTACAACGTCAGAACCCGTGCAGAAAAGACGCGAGGTATAAAAATAGAAATAGGTAGGTATGCGTTTTAAAAAATGTATGGTTTGAGTTTCATACATGGGAATATGTGCGACTATATTACGTGAGGGAAGAAAAAACGGGTTTTCGTAAAACTTGCAGGTACATATCTAAATACGAATACCGGAATATAGGTACATGATATGAACTCAACAACATTTTTTCGGATATGGCTTGTGCGTGCCAGACTATATATACAAATATATATAATATATGTATAGGTAGGTACATAATATAATATACGTTTTACATCGTAAATTTGCACACTGCAGAGCTACTGTGTACCTGCGTGTATAATACGCACCTATACATACAACAGTAAAACTTTACATTTGAGCTTAAAAAAAATAAACTTTTTCTAAAAAATAGCTATACAACTTTTATACGAGGCTTTAAAAAGAATATAGCTATACCGAGTATACCTATACATCTTTAAAGAATACGTAAACATGGTTATAAAATATATTACGAGTTCGTGAATAAATTAATTATGATGAAAACGTAGTATAATTTTTCGAAACTGACTACGATGATTCCACTCATCTTGCATTGTATAATGTCGATGTCAATCAATCATTTTATGACTATCTCTACAATATATAGGTTTACTTATATTAAATACCTATATTTACCTGTTAAAGTAATAAACAATAAGTAGTATCGCCGTATCGGGATACAAAAAGACATACGATATAATAATGTATTCCTATATTGTTATAATCCAAATTGGATTGTTATAAAAATATTGCAGATTTTCGAAAAATATAAAATAGTTTATGTTTATCCATATCTACTTATAAATATAATGTATTTAGATACTGCAGTATAACTATAATTTTCTGAAGAGAGTTCATTCATATTATACATAAATACATAATAATATATTACCTCTATACCTTCAAATATATAATATTAAATTGAGTATGATGATGTATCAATACCTAAACCTGTATTGGTATAAATAAATAAAATTTACATTTTTATTAAAAAAAATAATATGTAAATTTTGATCAATTATGTTAAAATTTGTTGTTAACATCATGCATATACTATTATTTCTTACATATAGTGTCTAGGAAAAAAATTAATAAAAAAAATACATGTAAATAATATAGGTACACATGTATACCTCAATATGAATATAACATTATATATTATACAGACTATACAGAGACATGATGAATTACAATTGGATTAAACTTATAGATATGTGTGAACGGTAAAAACCATAGGTAGGGGAAGATTGCAATTGTAATGTATAAGCACTACACTATAAACCGAGATTTAATTAAGATGTAATTCGTAAGAAAAAATTAAGAGGATCGCAAGATACAGAGAATATAGGGTAGAGCATTTTGGGATACTAATCTTATGGTTGAAAACATAATTGAGAGAAATAACATTATATATTAATTTAAATATAATTTGTATAGACATATCTATGTAATAAAGGAACCTACCTATATTGTATTATTTCATAACATAAGTTTGAAATCATATTGTGTTATCTAAACAAACACTAAACAAAATACTTAACCGAAAACGTTTATTTCGCCTATATGATGTTTGTATATAAGTATAGGTAGGTACTAAAGTTTTAAGACATAAGTTTTAATAGATTTTATACGTATATTATCATTTATAACAATTATGTGTTTATTTTAACACTATAGTTGTTTGTAAGCGTTTCACAAAGGAAAATTATTTTAAGGGTATATAATTTAGTGCAGCTAAAATTATCTTATAAAGAGTTTGTCCGAAAAATGCATTACCGCTGAATCGATAGTTTAAGTTTACATATTAATAGATATATGGCATGTAAAGTATCATGTTAGTAAAATAAATTAACTGCATGTGTGTAACAGTTATTTAATCGTTCAAATTAAAAACGATTGTTAGTTTACTATAGTTGAATGAATAATCTATCAATAATATACATATATATTATATAGGTAGGCATGACATTTCGTGTGAGTATAATGTAAATGTAAATGAAGTTTGAAGAATATCGCTAGGTAATTTCATATATCAGTATATCACCAATATATAGGTAAACTACATAACATTGAAGATAACATACAATTAGTTAGAACTAATAATAAACCCTTACATGTAGCTGTAGCAGTAGGTATATCTATATATAAATATATATTATATATACATACATACCTATAACAAAAATAAGTTCGCAAGTACCTTCCTAGCTGCAA